CTTCCCTGCCAGACACCAAACCGCCCATGATGTTGTGTGAGTGCCGTGGCCATTTTAGACGAGAATGGGGCGCACAGGCTGCTCAAGAGTGTTTTGGCAAGAAGGGGTTTATGGTGGCTAAGGGAAGGTGCGACAGGACGGGCAGGAGGCTGTTGGTGCATGTACTAAACTCGCCCATACTTGAATGTGGCACACAGGTTGCTGAAGAGCGAGCTGGCAGAGGCAGCGCATGGGGGTGGGAATATGGCGGGAGGTGCAGGAGAGGCATGCGTGAGTTTCCCTCATGTGCACACGGATATGGCATACAGATTTGGTGGGAGGGGAAGGTGCAGTAAGGTCTACAGTTACGGCAGGAAGGGCAGGAGGGGCCGGAGGTCCATGGGTGAGTTGCGCTGGCTCACGCATTCATACATTACACAAGCTGCTCATCTTCCTCCATCCTATCTGCTCTTTCCTCACGCCTTCATATCCCACCACCATCTCACTCCTACCACCATCTCACTCCATCCCATCCAGCAACCGTCTCCTCACTCCCACCATTGCCTTTGCCATGCATGAAAGGAAGCAAGAGGACCAGGCAGCCTGGCTGGAGCCAAGGCTCGCACAGTCAAATGAGCAGGAGTCCTGCAACAAGGGGGGGTGTCTGGGCAGAACCGTCCTCTTCCTTCCACCATCATCTCGCTCCCACCACCATCTATGCCATGCAGGAAATGAATCTGGCTGGGGTTAGAAAGAGGACCAAGCAGCCAGACAGGCTGCAACAAAGGCTCGCTACAGTCAACGCAGAGTCATGGGAGGAGAAATTACCAACACGACGAACCCATGCGGTCGTTTTGGGTTATGTGCGTCATTCATCTATTATATGTTCAAACCGGTATGTGTAGATTACATAAGTGCAATACTAGCTAAATTTAAATGCGTGGTGCTTGAATGATTGCCCAAGTGAGCTTGTAGAATTTGTGGAGTGATCAATTGTTTTTTTTGTTTTTTTTTCAAAATTCTATCTCTAAGTAAATTTTTGCGAGCTTGTGTAACAACCCTAATTTCACTTTGTAGGCCTTACTTTAGCGTACGTTCTTGGCTGGTGTCTAGCTTCGGTCCAAGCTGCTTGACATGAGGTGGAATTGACGGGCATGAGGGAAATTCTTCGATTTGTGTCAGACGTTCCTGGAGGGGGCTGACACCAGGCAAACTTGGCCCGAAGCTAGACACCAGCCAAGAACGTACCCTTAGCTTGCAAGTTCCGTAGCGCTCGCGTCAGCTGGTTCGGCCTACGTTGTCACGTCGAACCACTTCCGAGTCTCCTCCGCACCTTCCGTCACATTTCCGAGCCTCGCTTACCCCGACTTCCTCGCCTAGCAAGAATCTGCCTATTTGAGTTAACTCTGTAGCTTTCGGATTACAGTGCATTTCACTTCTTTTGTGACTCCCGCGCTCTCATAACGAATCGCGAATGCCTAGGTTGCGTCTCGCCACCTCTTGGCCGAACATGGGCCGGACGAATTTCGACTTGTAAGCAGAATATGTGACAGCTCGGCAAAATCGCTTGCGTGGACCAGTGGCTTCACCTCCATCTGGGCCAATCCGCGCACGATTTTCCGCCCCCCATAAGTTGTCAGGATGGGTATGACGGCAGATTGCTGTCTAGGCCCATCAGCTACAGTTACGACTGTTAATGCTTGTATGCGCTATTATAGTGTAACTCGCATTGCCAAAACAAAAACAAAAACAAAACAAGAGGTGACGAAATCGTCTTAGGGTTGCGAAGCAACTATGCTTTAAAATAAGAATTATATAATGATTTGGAAAGAAAAACAGATGTAACCAGTGATTGAGCTCGAAACTGAGATTGTAGTTTTAATGTAACCATTTGTAATGTAGAAACAAAATTAAGAACAGCACTTTGTGGGCGAGTTAGGGTAAGGAGTTCTCTCACAAGATTCGAAACTGTACCTTCTAATCGACATGTGCGTCTTCTACCGTCTACGCCAAAGCATCGGAAATTGCTCGTCCATTGCCTTTGCGACGAGATTGTAGTTAGGTTTTCGTTATCCTTTCTTTTCTTGCTGTCTCGTTTCTCTCTCCCTGCTGTCCTGATTCTTTCACAACTACCGTGGCTCCCGCTACCCACCCTAGTCCACCTCGTCATGTATGTCTTCTAAGTCTTTGTACTAGTAGTTCTAGATCTAGTTTATTTTCTCTTCGTTTCCCTCCTTTTACCTTTCGTTTTTCAACATTCTTGAGTTATTTAACTCACCATTAACTATGTGAAATCTGTTGGGTGCAAAATGTGTCAGAATCCCAACCACTAGACCATTGGGATAAAAGGGCTTATTAAGTAGCGGATCAGTGCGCCCATAACCCCCCAGGTCAACATGCCTGTAACCCTTCCCTAGGATCAATCGGGGATCACCAGTGGACCTCTGACACCCCCCCGCACTGGGATGCCCGAAGTGCACACACTGGGATTCGAACCCGAGACCTTCGCTCTGATACCATGTCATGATCCCAACCACTAGACCATTGGGATAAAAGGGCTTATTAAGTAGCGGGTCAGTGTGCCCATAACCCCCCAGGCCAACATGCCTGTAACCCTTCCCTAGGATCAATCGGGGATCACCAGTGGACCTCTGACAGAATGTATTTGCACGACAACCTGCCGCCTATTCGTCGAGCAAGGTGAAAATTAAAGGTATATTTTTTTAAGGTAATTTGGTTCGTGTGGAATGCGCATTTGTGTGCTTTTCATTTTGGCGTTTACGGTTTGTGATTCGCCTGAGCGGTTCATGAGTTGTGTGCATTTTAGTGTGAGGTTGCATTAATGTGTTTTCACGGTTGTTCGTGTTAATTTCGTGTTGTTCGTGTTACGTCATGAATGTGCGTGAAGTTCTGGATGTTCCGAAGGTTCATGGTCCTTCGCGTGTTCATGAATGTTTGCGTGTTGTTCGTGCGAGCGCTCATGTTCGTTCATGTGCGCTCATATTTGCTCATGACTGTTTATGTTTCTTTCATGGTTGTTCATGCTTTGCTCATGCGTTTTTCATGAGTGTTCATGGTGAGGGTCAAGTGTGTAGGGGAGTGGGCTCAAGCCTTTGACCGAGCCCTTTGACTTTTCTCGCGCGAGTCAAAGGTGCGAAAGTCAGGACCCACTTGTGGGGTCCTGACACACGTGCGTGTGGTCTGACAAGAAGTGTGCGTGTGTCGCCACTGTTTCGATCGTGCACTGTACGCACGATCGCTACAAGACGGAGCGACATGATTGCTCCGTCACGCGCAGGACAATGCACGATCGCGTCACCGATCGTCTTGTCCTGCACGACCGAGAAATATCTCGGTCGTGATGAGGGGCACGTGAGGCATGTGGGGGACGCAAGGTTTCACGGTTGACTAACGGAACTTTCGCGCTGACTATGCGAGCAGGAAAATTCGCCAGAAAGTCGCGCTGCTTTGCGTCATTATTTGGACAGAGGTACAAAACGGTAAAGTCCGTTTGTAACTGAAAAACGGTAAACCCACACGAGTGTTCATGATTTGTACACGAGCGATCATGAATGCTCACGAGGGAGTCAGCAGGAGAATTTGGCAGCAGTGCAGTGGAAGACGGTTATTTTACAGTGGCAGATCAAGCCAAATTCAGGAGCAGTTGAACAACCGTTTTCAATGACAGCAAGGCGAAGACCTGGACGACAGTTAGACAACTGCCTTGTTTGTTTTCCTTTGTGTGCGTAGGCTTTGATATTAAATGTGTGCTTGTGTGAAGTTGTAATCAATCCTTTGTGAATGAAAATTGCTCTATCGACGTATTGACGTGAAGAGCTACCTTTGCATATGAGCCAATTTGTCATCAACGCTGCGCAAATGAGTTTGGGAAAGTTCTAGTGCACACGATTGTGTTTACACTTGGTGCGTCCCTCGACAAACACGGACTCTTGGTTAGGGGCTGGCTTTGCCAGTGTCAAGATACTAAGCACCTAGGAAACTAGGTTTAGGCTTAGGATGCACAGTTAGGAGTAGGAGCTAGGGTTTTAGCCTTAGGCAAAGTAGAAGTTCAAGCAAAAGGAGTGATTCAACTATAGAATGACAAGTACAAATAGAGGAGAAGCATGCAAGGAGTGGTGCACCACCACACAGGACAATAATGGTACTACACTACAGCTAGAACTACATGCGCTTATACAGAACATACATCAAATATATTCTGACAGCCAGGCACCCGAGGACCCTTGGAGGTGACCCCGTGGGGACTTATTAGTGTGTAGTAAAGGTGTGCTTAGAGCCTCTAGATCCCATATAGTAGTCAACAAAATCTTGTGTGCTATGTCGAATTAGCACATGCATATCATCGAGCTAGCTTAGTAGGTCGAATTTTACCGTGCACGCCATTTCGACCAAGCTTAGTAGGCCGAATTAGGACCTCAATGCGAATTCGACCTTGATAATTAGGTTGAAGTAAGGCCTACAGGCCATGTCAACCATCAAGGCCTGCAGGTTATTTTGACCTAGCTTATTTCAGTCCATCATCTCTTTCTTGGTAATTATAGTTTTTTCTTTCATCGTCTTCTTTAGATATTCCTTCTCCTTTGGATAGTCTAAAGGTTGCAGCAGATCAGTACATAGGTTGTAAATCGTTGTGAAATTGTTCTATGTTTCTTGTTTTCAACTTCGATCCTTACCCCCTTTTGCTCGCAGGTCATCAAGTTAAGTTAAAATGTGTGTCTGCTCTATCTCATATCAACTCTATGCTTGCTTGGTTTTCTCTTGTTATCTCGTCTTTCTTTCTTCCCCATTTCCTTTTTCGTTCCTTCCTTCTGCTTCCTATCTGATCAGCAATGGGAATTTCACTTTGTTGTGGGATTATATTACATTTTTCTTGTTTCTTTTTTTTCCTAGTTCTTTTTCGTTTATTGGTTTTCTGTTTCATACTTTCTCAATTATCAAATGTTTGTGCTGTGTTTATCTCTTTCGTTCCACTAGTGCCTTCCAATTCCTCGTTTTATGCCATGAAAGGTTCCTTCAAAACATCCTTTTGTATGCATGTCGTTCCTTTGCTTTCCGTTCCGTCGGTCCATTTCATTCCATTTCAATTTCGCCATTCCACATTCGTCCGATTTCAGAATCTGTATAAATACATCGTTAGTTTTGTTTTGTCGCAATGCGGCGCCGCGTGCTAGTAGGGTTGAAGGAGATGGGGCAGGCAGTGCAGTGCCGAAAGACATCCCTCCTCTCTCGCTCGTTCCCCCCCCCCTCTCGTTCAACCACCCCATGGCACAGCGCGTGCTGAAGGAGGTGCAGCAATGAGGCGGCGCATGTTGGCACATGAGGCCAGTGGTGCGGGGCTGAAGAAGAGTCTCTTCTCCTCCTCGCCATCCCCCTCTCCCCGTCCGATGGGAGCGATGCGGCGGCTGGTGCTGGTAGGGCTGAAGGAGGTGGGGCAGGCAGTGCACAGTGGGAGGGCCAAGTGTGTTGGTGCTGGCGCCTAACGTGGAGGAGGTGCCTGGAGCAAGTGAGGGGAGGAAGGTGAGCGGAGCGAGGCGAGGGGAGAGAGGTGAGGGGTGAGAGGTCAGGGGAGGGAGGTGAGGGGAGGGGTATGTGAGGGGAGGTGAGGGAGGTTAGAGGATGTAGGTGGGGGGAGGGAGGTTAGGGGAGGGGTAGGCGAGGGGCGGGGTAGGTGAGGGGAGGGGGATGAGGGGAGGGGTAGGCGAGGGGAGGGACGTGAGGGTGGGGTAATGATGGGTGGCGCTGGAGATGCAGGTGTGTGGTGGTGGCAGCTGCTGTGGAGGAGGTGTGTGGGGCAGGTTGAGGGGAGGGAGATGGTGGTGGATGGCGCATGGTGGGGTGGGGTAGGGTACGCACTGGAAAGGCCAAATGTACCTTGCGCCCAACGGGGAGGGGAAAAGGCGCCTGGGGAGGGTGGGAAAGTGGAGGGTAAGGTATGGATGGGAAGTGAGAGAAAGGGTTAGAGTTGTTAAGTGCGTGGTGCTGGCTATCTGCATAGGAGAGTTGCCGTGGGCAGTTGAGAGGAGGAGAGGGGGGTGGGCGTGGGTAGGAGGAAAGGAGGGTGGGAGGGTTCCACTTATTCTTCACAACCCCCTCGCACCCCCGAGAATCACCTAGTCGTGGGCTGCTATCGGCAGGCTCTGGGACACATGGCACATGCGGTGAGTGGTATGCCCAGTTACCCATGCCCATTCACCCATGTCGCTTCACAAATGCCCATTCACCCATGTCGCTTCACACATGCCAATTCACCCATGTCGCCTCACACATCCCCATTCACCCATGTCGCTTCACACATGCCAATGCACCCATGTCGCTTCACACATGCCCATTCACCCATGTCGCTTCACACATGCCCATTCATCCATGTCACTTCACACATGTCCCTTCACATTTTCCCCTTCACTCATGCCCATCACCATCTTCCGTCACCACCCACCACCGCACACCACCACCCACCACCACACACCACCACCCTGCAGGTATCTGCCTTCATGCGCCCGTCCTCTTCCACGTCTTTCACCAGCTAAGCTGTGGGGGCGGTGTGTGCCTTTCCACCATGTGGTTTCCAAAAAATTACCAAGTGGCTTCCAGGAAATCACTAGGAGCTTATGAACAGGTGACTACCAGGTGGCTATGTGTTGAGCTATTGGGTCAGTTGTAGGGGGGTATGTGGGTGGTTGGCTGCACCTGAACGCCCTACTAGCCCCTGTGCCTCATGTATGCTGTTCCAATCTTTCTCTTCCACTTCACTCCTGTTGTCTCAGCGTGACATCACCATTTCTCCTCTCGACAGTTCTTTCAGCGACTTCTCCATTGAACAATCATTCCGCAACAAATTCCTGGTGAGGGGGAGATGGTAGGCGGTGCCGTGAGCACAAGAGGGAGAGATGGTGGGGTATTGGAGCAAGCAAGAGGGGGGGAGATGGTGGAGGAGAACCATGAGTCAAACCGAGACAACTATAGTCAGTTTGTAGCTTGATTGACATGGCAGTCCCCTAAGTGGCTTATTCATGGCCGACGTCTTCAGCACTGCCCTCCTGGTGAGGGAGTGGAGCGTGTGGGTGGTAGGAATGGGTGAGAAGGGAATGAGGAAGGTGAGAAGAGGAGAGGGAACAGGTGAACTTTTAGTGCATTTAAGTAAATTGCTTGCACATTGACTCATCCGTTGTAGTCTAGTTTGTTAGGATACTCAGCTCTCACCCGAGAGACCCGGGTTCAAGACCTGGCAACGGAATCGTTTTCAGATGGTTTGGAAGACAGGAGACATCCAGCACGCTATGCATCCAAGTCAGGGCGTTTCAGAAGGACCCCCTCGATTTGAACCCTGTCTCTGCACCCCACATGCACTCACCTCCTGGCCTTGCCACACCTCTTGCAGTCACTTCCGCCAACCATGGTTAGAGCAGCACAGGGACGTGCAACGTTCCGCCTCCCCTGTCCACGTCCCGCCTCCCGTCGCTTCAGCCTGGAGGCTTTTATGGCGTCTCAATGCTCTCATGGGAGCTGGGTGCGAGATGTGAGATGCGAAGTGCGAGGTGCGAGGTACGAGGTGCGAGGTGCGAGGTGCGAGGTGCGAGGTGCGAAGTGCGAGGTGTGAGTGAGGGGCGTTGTGCTGGCATGGCTGAAGGAGGTGGGGCAGGAGAAGAAGGTCCCGCCTTTCCCCTTCACATCCCTCCCCCCCCATCCCTCCCCTCCGCATTCCACGTCCCACACCTCTCTGCTTAACCCCCTACGCATGGGAGCAGGGAGCGACGTGCTAGCATCACTGAAGGAGGTCAATCCTCTCCCCAGCCCCGCCTCCCTCCCACTTTAACCGCCCGCACGGTGCCATGCGGCGGCGTGTGCTGGCAGGGCTGAAGGAGGTGGGGCAGGCAGGCAGTTCACAGTCGGAGGGCCAAGTGTGTGGTGCTGGCGCTCAACGTGGAGGAGGTGCCTGGGGCAGGTGAGGGGGTTGAGGTCGTTCGGGGTGATTATGACGAGTAGTGCATGGGTGTGTTGTGCTGGGAGTGTATGTGGTTCTGGCGGCTAACCTGGAGGAGTTGCCTGGGGCAGGTGAGAGAAGGGTAAGGGGCCGGTGAACGGGGGGAGGTAAGAGCGAGGTGGTAGTGGGGTGAGCGTCATTGTGATGGTGACATGTGCACAAGTGTGTGGGGATGGAAGGGCCAAGTGTGTGGTGGAGGTGACTGAGGCAGGTGAGTGTTTGGGTGGGGAAGGGAGGGGAGGGATGGGGCGGGAGAGGAGGGTGTGGGATAAGGGCAGGGGGATAGTATGGGGTAGAGGGAATGGCTTATAAGTAGGAAAATAGTGCAGGGGTAGCAGGAATGAGATTTGAGTAGGCGGATAGAGCAGGGGTAGGAGTGGGATGTGGGCAGGGGGGTTGTGCAGAAACATTGTGGGTTGGGATATGATATGAACAGGGGAATAGTGCAAGGGTGGCAGTGGGGTATGTGCAGGGGGATAGTGCAAGGAAAGGGTTGGGGTATGCGCAAGGGGGGGGGTGCAAGAGTAGGGTGGGATATGGGCAGCGGGATAGTGCAGGCGCAGGAGTATCGGGAATGGGATTTGGTCCAAGGTGGTAGGTGCAAGGGTAGCCGGGATGGGGTATGATTCAGGGGAGAGTGAAGGGGTAGCAGGGATGGGGTATGGTTCAGGGGATGGTGCAGGGGTAGCCGGGATGGGGTATGATTCAGGGGAGAGTGAAGGGGTAGCAGGAATGGGGTATGGTTCAGGGGATGGGGAAGGGGTAGCAGGGATGGCATTTGAGCGGGGGCAATGAGCAAGCAGCAATAGGGATGGCCTATGAGCCGTGGCAGGAGGGAGTCAGTGACTGGTGGTGGTGAGTGGGACTGAGTGGAGGGTAGAAGGGAGTATTAAGACAGACGGCTTGGGGAAACAGCACTGATGGTACGAAGCAGTATGGCAGGTATGGCTTAGGGCGGTATGAGAGGACACTTGAAGCATCTTATGCCAAGCATGGTAGGTCGGCTGACGGCACTGAGATTGCCGCACACCCGTTGCCGCTGGTGGTGCCAACTCGGATATGGGTGCAAAATCAAATACGAATACGGATACGAGTACTGTATTCGAATATTAGTCGAATATCTCTTGTGATTTGTATTTGGTCGAATAGTGCTGCAGTTCGAATACGAATACGAGTCGAATTGGCTCGAATACGAGTCGAATACAAATGTGGTCGAATATGTGTTTTTGAATTCTGAGTTGTGTGTCGCCCCTCTTGTTTTGTTTTTGCAGATCCACCAAGATTCGCGCTCCCACTCAGAATGTATTGGATACAATATTTGCATGGCTTTTGTTGCTAAATGTGTCGGTAAATCGTATATTTCTCCTCTTGATTTTATACTTTTACCCAAGATTTGAGCATTCCATAATGCAACAACATGTGGATACAAGGAAACAACCCTGACTGTGGTTAAAACATCACCATGTACTCCGTGTATCAACACTCCTTAACAATCCATCCATGAAAAACTCAATCCAATCAACCACAACACTCAAGGCTCTACTCAAGTTTGGAACTAGAATGAAATAACCAACCATAGTAATGTAGGCTATAAACAATTCAAGACCAAGAATGACCCACGTTACCACACTCGTCTAAGGTCTAAACATGGCTAGAACAAGGATGAAGCAATCAAAACAGCGAACTAAACAACTCAACCGTCGTCTCAAACACATGAAAGAATGAACTACCTTAATCAACCACACTACTCAACGCTCTACACAACTCTGGAGCTAGATTGAACCAAACAACCACACTAATGAATGCTCTAGACCACACTCGAACACGAATGAACCAATCAATTAGATCAATGTAAGCTCTAAACAACTCTTGAACAAGAAGGAACCAACTAATCGCACTAATGATGGCTCCAAACAACTTTAGACCAAGAGTGAGCCAATTAACCACGTTAATGATTGCTAATCAACAACTCTAGAACAAGCATGAACACATAAACCATTCACATAGAGGCTCTAATACATTCTAGAACAAGAATTAACCAACTAACCACACTAATCAATGCACTACCCATTCCTATAACAAGTTAGAACAAAGCTACCTAGGCTATAAACCTCCAACCTAAGCTTTCATTCCTTCCAAAACCATCCATGAGCGCAAGCAAATGCATGCGCGGACCGTCTTAGGATCTAAACTATGACGAAAATCCGTAATGACATGCCGGGCTATTGAAAACGAGCGCTCGGAATCCGCCGAAGTTCCCGGTATGGCAAGATAATCCCGCGCCATGTGTGCGACAATGGGATAAAGAGGTGCATACACCTTCCACCACTCCGTGAACGAAGGTAGCTTGCCCTCGGGTCCAACACTCAATCTCGTCTTTCGAAGATATTCATCCAAATGAGTGCTATCCTCCATCGTCTCCCCACTCGCGCGACATTGGAAAATGGCACCAAAAAGAGAAGACCTTCTTCGCACCGCGGATGAGGTTTGGGAAGTGGC